TGTTTATGTGGATTCTAGCTGCTATTTTTCTTTTCTAGGATATGTCGTCGAACCAGTGACACCAGACTTTCTTATTATTTTATTTGGCTTGTATTATCTTCTTTCTTGCATGCTTGGGTGTTTGGTTGTTTCACCCTTTTTCATGTTTGGTTTTTCTGAGAATATGATAATATAATTTAGGCTCTTTAGGATTTAAAATTCTAAATTTGCTATAAAATCCTAATAAAATATTCAGGATAATGAAAATTTTAGGATCAAAATATTCAGGACTTTAAATTTCAAGCGTTTACTTTCCTGCATGACCTTCAGGTCGATTTTTAAATGGATCACTATGCTCAGGGTTGTGGTAGATAACTACATTCATATTTACATGTCTCGAGGAGAAGTCGTCGAGCTTCTTAAATCTGATTGGCCCAGCATGAATTTATATATAGGTGGTTGTCTAGCACATTTAGAGAGTTAGAAGGCTCACGACCCAAGCAGGTATAAGTTCTTTTATTGGCGCGCTTCCAGCTTTGTAGTTGAACTTCTTTTTTCTCTTCCTTTGGTATGACATCCTCGCCACTTCGACAGGTATAAGTCCCACCTCTTGAAACTCTACATGTAGTCATAAGATAGAGTTTTATTCATTTGACCTTAGGGCTGTCAAGGTCCTCATGGATGACACAATTTACAGATTACTTATTGAGGATCTTTGGACGTGTTGGGTCGACTACCTTCATGACCAAGTAAGCATAGGGTCTTGGTGCCTTTGGACGACGAGTCCGTAGTACCTTGACCCAACTACTTTTACCTTTTAGGATTACTCTACCCTTCCTCTGCTGAGTCCCTTTGAGCCCTGTTTTGACTTCATTGATATCAACTTGAAGACTTGATTATCGATAATCTACCATTCTTTTGAGGTACGATGATTCACCCTCTGCCCTTATGACCCGATGAGCTCTGATGTATAGAAATATCCCAGTCGAGTTGACTTTGGTTATTTCATAGGCTCGGTGTGTCGACGAATTATTACCCATCTTGGGTACGATAAACTTCCTCACTGAAAGCACCAGGGCATCCCCATAAGAAATAACCACCCTCTGATGTTCTACTCTCCTGGTTCATGATAATATAAGCGAAACTTTGTTTATCGAGAGTATTCTTAGGTATACCTTAGAATGTAGTTAACCAGAGGGATACGTTCCTCTAGGAGTATCTTGACCCCAAAACAAAAAAAAAACTTTTTTTGATTTTCTGGTTACGAGTGACTTATGTAGGGATTCTGTTCGTGGATGTTGTGTTTCGAGATACCTCATTCTAATCTTGTACGGACACATACTCTTTAACCATCACACAAGGGCTACCCATATATAAGCCTTCTGCTTGTTTCTTTTTGTATTTGTTTGTCTATTTGTTGTCTTATATTCTTCTTTTCGATTCCACCCCTCTTTAAATCATTGATATAATTCGGGAGGAAGATTTATTAGAATAAGGGAATTATACGATGACATATAAATAGACAAGCTAGCGACTCAAAGTCTTCGAAAAGAACCAATAAAACTGAGGGATCTCCTTTGGTCTATTTGTTTTAGAAAAGAGCGTTATGAGGAATTTTTTTGGTCTTGAGCTTTTACGTTTTGGCTTATTGATGTCTGATTGTTTCAATTTTGTTATCTTCTCTTGCTTTCTTTTTGTTTTTGTTTTTTAAACTGTTGTGGGTAAACACTATTTATTTTAATGTTAATTGGTAAATTTTAGATTTTATTGGGTCACCCAATTTGGGCGGGCTTGGAGAAACTTGGTTTCTAAGCCTTAAGCCACCCAAACCTAGGCAAGTAGAAAATGCATAAAATGTTTGATTATATTATTCGTACACATAATTTTATATAAATAATATAATAATATCTTATAATTATTTTTATTTTTATTCTTCATTTTGCTTCATGTTTGCTCAAACTCATTTGAAAAGCAATTATAATTTATATGAAAATTATTTTTAAAAAATATTATTTATACCTTCATATCCTAAATCATTGCTTCATGCACATAAATACTAATCATTTGTAGAACCGTCTGTTTTTAGATGTTAAAGCATGTTCTTATATAACAAAATAATATATATCCTCTAAATAATTGCATCAAATAAACTCTTAGTTTTTGAGGCCAACACTAATTTAAGATCTATTTACATAAATATTTTGTCAAGCATACTATTATTTATGCAAATCTATTTAAAACAAAAGAAATTCAACTCAAAATTTTACTTAAATTAGCAATGTTTTTATCTGCAACATATTATCTGAGAGGTATGAATCCTCACCCTGAACCATCCCTCCCCTCAATAAAAGCCAACAAGCCCTCTTCTAAGACAATCATTATACCTTAAGAATAGATTAAAACCTTAAAATTTCATACCAAAATGACATTTAGCATTGCTCATAATTAATCTTATTCCAACAGTTATTTACAATAATAAGGCCATGGAGGGAGGAGCATGCATAAGAAGTTACACATAACATTGAATCACTCCATAAGATACCACTAAAATCATATAATTATCTCCAAAGAACACACTATTACAAAGCAACTAAAGATTAAAACAATCCACCAGAATGGACAAAGCAATGTCAGAGCCAAGTTCTGGTATATGTGGCGGGTTAAGCTCTCGACTCCGATCCAGCGAGCCGGCGTGATTGTCTTTGTCGATGTTGATTTGACTCAACCCGATCGACAAATTTGATCCAATCCTTTCTATATTGGTCTGAACCTTCGCATAGAGTTTACGAAGTTCAAAAGTATAAGAATTCATGGAGCCTGACATTAATGCAAATCTAAACTTGATAAGGGTGCTTAGAGGTGAACAAAGGGTGAATAATTTATATATGTGAATTGGATGAACATTTGGGGATAAAGAAGTAGGAGTAGAAACTAGGGGTGGTTTCGGGCCTCTGGAATTTGAAAGCCGCGGGTGAAACGACAGTTTGGGCAGGTGGGTTATTTAGAATCTAGCCGCACACGTGGAGATTGGACGGTGGATGTATTTGTACGCATAGAACATGGTATGGAGGAAGGACATATGTGCTGTTGTTTTGATTTGGTTGCTGGGTTGGGGGATTAGAAAACAACGGCTGATATTTGTGGGTGGGCGACTTGTAAGGGAGGAATTGAAGACTTTTGTGCTCTCTTCTTGTTAAATTTTGAAAACTGCAGCTGCTAGTTTGCATGCACTGGCAGTTAATTTCTGACTATTAACTTTCAATTTGATTAATATTTGTATATACAAAAAAGAGTTTTTTTGAGCAGCATAAAAGGCCAAATATTAAATGTCTCATGAGTCTAATGGATAGAGTTGCGAACCATGCACGTAATAGTCCAGTGCTGACCATGCCAATCTTACTTGTTAGGCATATCTTTGGAAGTGACGAGCTAGAGCGTTTCTGGCTCCCCAAAAGGAACCCACAAGTACATCCGAAGCTCGTGGACGGTCACGCAAGTTTCTCTGACCGACCTGAACTCTTCAAGCGAACTCCACCAGCCGAGCTCGCTCACATTTCCCGAGTTTTTCTTCCAAGCTTGCTTGTACTAAATGAATCCTCTCGCCAGGGTCGTGGATAGCTACATGATTGTGATGCATCACAGAGTTCTATAGACAGATTTTGAGACTGATGGAAGACAACTCCAGTCCATCATCATCTATGTAATCATTTATTGGCCGCCTGACTCCCACTACAAGGATCTTCTTAACGACAAGTCTATTCAGGCTCCGTAAGGGCATTCCTGGGGAGACACATAAGCACTAGGATGCATAAGTAGGAAGCAAATGGGAGAAGAGAGGGGACCTGGCTCTAGCTCTCTTCAACTCTCTTTTTCCCTCTAAAAATCTTTCAACTTCTTCACACTCCTTTCACAAAGGTATCTCCCAAATTATATGAGTTCACGAATTAATCATACGCTCCAAAAATATTCAACAACTCACATTAAGAACTGATGATAATTTAAATGATAATTTAAGTGACAATATTTGCTGAAGCTCTTATACTGGCAAAAATATCACATGAACAAAAAACGTTTAATTGGAAAAAAATCATTCAGCTCAGGTACTATGTTTATGGTCAATTTTGCGACAATCCTTCTTGAAAGCTCCACCCACAACAGGGATTGTCAAGGTTTGCTAATTACAGCTTTGCCCAAAAAACAGTAATAATAATAATAACACTAAATAAATAAAAAATTGTTACAATAATCTATCAATCAAAAGTTTCTGTTATCTTCATCACTCTTTGTTCTTGACAGATACTCTTTGTTCCTGAATCTAAAAGGAATAAGTCAACATTTAAAATAAAAGAGAAATTTACATATGTACCATGCATATCTGGTTATTTATATATCTATAACACTTTGGTGTCATGAAACAAACAATACATGAAAAATTGTATTTCAAAAGATAATGATTGTGGAATTTTAAAGTGATGTTAAAAGATTTCAGTGATATGCATATAAATATGAATGTTAGGTGTTAGATATATAAATATGTAAGAATTGTGTGGTATTTATGTAAAGTGAAGCACCTAAATGTTTCAATAACAGAATGAGATTGTACTCGAATCTGCAGCACATTAATTAGAAGCAAAATGAAAAATCTCAAAGTGTCTAATTCTAGACTTCTAGTATTCAGAAAGCAGTCCATAATATATTATAACCGAAATATTATTCATCATACTGAAAAAAATCACAATTTTCAAACTAAGGGTGTCTTTGGAACTGTTTGTGCTCATCTAGATAAGTCACTTATCTAGAAATGCGGATCAAGGGGTTTAACCCGTGTTCCGCATTTAGTGTAAAAAATAACTACGTTTTCGGATAAGTTGTTCAAACGCAATTTTCAAACGGTGAAGCGGCATTTTCAAAACATCGCCGCAGCGGATAAATTGCCTCAAACGGAACCTAAATTATAGGGGCTCGAAGAATTATATGTATAGTTTCTCAATCTTATTACATAGGCATGTGCATCAAAAGTCTTATAAAAAGTATAAAGGCATCTCTTTTACTGATCCAAATCAATCAAGTAGCATAAATCTTCATATTCCAATACAGTTCATCCGAATTTACTTACTGAAATATAAAGCACAAAAATCTAGACACAACGCAAAGATTTCTTTTTTGCTATGTTTCCTATTCCGATTCTTCCACACTTGCCTCCACTCGCAGAAGAATAAAGCCCAAAGCCACGCCAATGAGCACCAGTCCATTCATGATGGCTGCAATCTTGAATATTTCAGCAGCTGCGTTGCAGGTTGAGGAGAATGCTCCCCCTCCGCTCTTCTGTTTCTTCGATGGAGAAGACTTGATGGAGCTCATAACCATGGCGAATGACTTTTCAGCACATTGTGAGACTCCGATGGGGGTTACTGTGTTCTGCGCTTTGAGGCCGCCGTAGGAGTTCAGTCCTTGTATGAATGTAACGCCGGCCTTCTTTTTCATGGTGGAGTTAAGTGCGGAGGTGGAGATGGCGGCTGCCGAGAAAGTTGGAGGAGATATGACTGCCATTTTTGTGAGGAAGAAGCAGATGATGCTGGAGGAGAAGGATGGGGGAGAGTGAGATGGGGAAAAATTGATGCTTGATTATAGGAGATGGAGAGGGGAGTTGGGTTACCTTTTTCTATGTTTCTCTGATTCTGCTGCTTGGTTAAGAATCTGGGAGTTAGCGAGGGGGAGATTGGTGTTTTTTGTGAAGGTAAGGAACAAGGGGGGGAGTGGATAAGATGAGATTTGGGGTGAATGGCTGGGGAGGAGATTAGGATTCTGGGTTTTCTTCCTCTCTCTTTTTTTCATTATTTTATTTTATTTTATTTTATTTTGCTAGCTATGAAAATGGGTGCAAAGGTATTTTGACTAGGGAAAAGAAAAAAAAAAAAAAAAAAAAAAAAAAAAAAAAGGAAAAAACGAGTTTGTTGATAAGGCAATGAGTGGACCATGAGAGGCCATTGCTGGGACTGATTTCATTGGAAGGAGATTTGGGAAAGTTGTGATTGCTTGGTTTGATTTTGTTTTTTGGAAATAAGTATTATTTCCATAAAATATTTTTAGTGCTTGAATAGACAACATATTGAGTGAAAATAAAAAAAAAATTTAAAATATTGAGTTATTATGCCGCTGACTATAGTAAGAAATTATAGATATACATATATATATATATATATATATATATATATTGAATTCAAATATATCTAGTAGCCCTCGCTCAAGGAACAGAGCGTTTGATCGAGAAAAGAAGATCGAGGTGGAGAGAGAAAGAGATAGAGGAGGAGAAGAGAAAGATACTCCGTGGAGGTGAGATGGGTGTCCCGAGGTCGATGACCCATTTTATTTCATAAAGAAAATATGTTACAAAAATGGGGGATCTAACGATTTTTTTATATGTGACAACCCTCCTATTTATAGAGGACAGAATGGAAAAAAAATATAAAATTATATTACCAGCCCTGCTTCACAGGAAGAACCAAGGACGTTCTAGTCCCTTGACCTTGGACCATCAAATTGCATTGAAATCAGTGCAGAGCATTTTTTAATATGTATATTAAGTTCCTTAACTTTCTTACTTCTTGATAACAACAACTGCAATAAGGACAATGAAATTTATAAATCAAACAAATCTTGAAGTCATAATTTACTAATGATACTCCCCGCTAGGTGCTTTTCGTGCTCGGTTTTCGTACTTTTGTTTTATTTGTTGGATCTATCATTTTAAAATTTTTGTATCGGGGGAGTCATTGGATTTCTGTCGGAAGAAAAGTCGATTGTTCGGAGGAATAGGTCAGCCGTCAGAAGAAAAGATCGGTCTTCTGAGGAAAAATCGACCATTGAAAAAAATGGTCGGTTGTTGGAGGAAAAATCGTCCGTCGGAGGAAGAGTTGATCATTGGAGAAAAAAGTCAGCGGTCAGAAAAATCGGTCGTTAGAGAAAAATTCGGCCTTCCAAGGGTGACCTATAGACGGGAGCAAACTGTAGTTGCTATTCCTTTAGATTGATGTAACATTCGCTGTAGTCGATTAGACATTGAGTAACCATGGTATGATTTGTTTGCATGACCGGTGGAGTGGTTGTCCGAGAGTATGTTGAGTGGGCTAATCGATTTGATCAAAATGGTTGGCTGGGATTTCAGTGGTGGTTATAATTCATTTTTTTAGCAGTTTTTTGTTTGATGACCCGTCCTGGAGGAGAGCCTTAGAGTTGCTTACCTTGGAATGACATCATAGAGATGCTCGCCTCAGAGGGGCATCTTAGAGTTGCTTCACCTCAGAGGAAGTTTTAGAGTTGCTAGCCCCGGAGGGGGTCTTAGAGTTGCTAGCCCCGAAGGGGAGTCTTAGGGTTGCTTGTTCCTGAGAGAAGTCTTAGAGTTGCTCGCCCTGGTGGGGGGAACCTTAAAGTGGCTCATGCGGGAGTAGGAGGTGTAAACAAGCCGAACACAAGTGAGCCCAGACTCAACTCGTGTTTCGCTCGTTAAGAAATACCATTTTTTGTGTTCGACTTGTTTATATTTCAAACACAAAAAATGTGTTTGTGTTCAACTCGTTTGCTTAGTTAGCCGAACATGAGTTGTTTTTGAACAAAGAGTCCTTTTGAAAACCCTGATATTAAGGGTTGAGGCGAAATTTAAACCTTATTATTTATATTAAACATCATTTAAATATAATTAAAATATTTTTTTATTTTATTTTTTAATTAATAATTTTAATTGATTATAAATCTTTGTAGCGGTGTAGTCAAGTAATTTTTTTAAAATTACTGCTCATCAATTATATA